AGTACACATAACTCTCGGATACAATCCGAAGTTTCCACATTTATTTTTTATAAACACCTGTTTTTTAGGGCAAATTTAATAGCGTTTTTTGAAATTGTTATAATTAAGAAATAAAATGAAAATGAAAATTTGTATTGTTCATTATTATTTTTCGATAAATAATTGTTTTATGTTGTTGTTTTTTTAAGACATGGTGGAAATTTAGGAAAAGCTTTACATAGATGTGTTTGAAATGAATGACAATCAATCTGTTGAGGTTTTGGTGTAGCTGTTTTTTTTCCACATGTTGAATATGTTGTTTTAAGATTAGTTAATAATTCTTGACATTTCTTTTCTTTTCCATGTCGAATACAATATTCACCACGTGTTCGTAATTCATCAGGATCAAATGGAACTTTAACAAATTCTTCATTACTTAATGTAGAATTTATACTTAACTTTTCTTTGCTTGTTGTAATTGTTGTTATTATTGTCGATTTCTTTGTTGTTACTACTGATTTGGGTTTTGTTACAGTTGTTGTTGTGGTTGTTTCGACAAGTTTTGGTTTTGTTACAAGTTTTTTTTTAGTTACTTTCTTTTTTGCTAGAGAAGAAGAAGAAGAAATTGGTTTTTGTGTTGTTTGACCACAAGCTGATGGAAAAAGAAAACATAATTTAATTTGAACTTCTTGACATACACGAAATTGTTCAGTTGTTGTGATTTTTTGACATTTTTTAACTAAATTCAAAAATTTTGTTTTAAGTTGTAAACATTCCGAATTTGATGGAACACGTTCACATTGTTCACGAAGTAAACGATATTTTTCCAAATCTTGACAATAATTTATTGTAAATGCAATGAATAACGTTATTAAACACAGTAATCGCATTCTTTAAAATAAATAAATGATTTTGTTGTAATATAAATATTCACTTTCCTTTTTTCAATGATAAGATAATCAATCATTTTCTAGGTACAAAAAAAACAAATAATGAAATATGATTCCATTAAGGATAAATGACATTGAAATATTATTGATAAGAATAGATTTGAATTCTTTTTTTTAGATAAAATATTGATTCGAATTTATTGTGTAATAATTCCATGTTAATATTTATTTATTAAATTAATTGAAATAATCAATTAATGCCATTATCTTCTTTAAGTAATTTTCTTTCAATAAAAATGACAAATGAAAATGTAAATTCGACAAATAAATCGATTCCTAATAATTTATTTTATATTCCAAAACGTGTTATTGTTGCATTATTAACATCACTTGGTTTACTTATAGTAACTGTTATTCAAACCAATTTTGCAATAACAAATTCATTAATTCTTAATCCAAATGATTCAAAAGATATTCTTCTTGATGATAATCAATTACCAAATACAGTGAGAAATATTTTACAACAAATTATTTTCTTATTTTTATCGTTTTTTTTTTTATTTTTAGCCACCAAAAGTAACTTGGACATCAGTTGA